CGTTATAAGTATTTTTTTTTTTTAAAAAAAAAAATTGTTATATTAACTTTTATAATATAATTTTTCACTTTTAAAGGTATGTATATATGTGGAAAACTATTCCAGCCTAATCATTAAATTTAGCTAACATAATAGGCTCTACACTTGATGGACACTTGTTACATCATTCTAATTTTTACTTATCAATTGGAAAAACATATCATACAAAGTTTACAATTAAGAATGATAATAAGCGAAGAAGATCATATAAATTCAATCAGATTGAATCCTTTCGTTGACATCCGATATAATTGGAACGATACAGAGAAAAATAGCATGGCCCTTGCATAAGGATGACACGCATAAACCGAGAAATAATTTAAATTCAAAAAGATTGAAAAAAAAAGATCAATCAGATTGAAGGGGACCCATTAGGCATTAGAGAACTAAAATAAGTAAAATTTAATTCTGTTAACTCAAACGAAGAAGATACTCTTATTTCTACTTTTACTCATTTCCTCTTTCCTTTTACAGTAAAAACCCGTACGTTCAATCACAACAACATCATATACTCAGATACTCAGCTGGCTTTGCCCGACTAATTCGTTGGTCGACTCGGGTGGCACGCTCAGCTCACTTAGTTAAGTGATGATCGAAGCTTTTTTTTTTTCGGGGCCCGAGAAAGCCGCCGCATCTACCTGACCCGACTTACATTCAAATGACAAAAAATAAGAAACTCTTACTAAGAAGATCATCTTTATTTTTTTTTCTTATTTACGTAAACAAAAAGAAAAGGAAAATAAAATAATAAATTGCAAGAAAAAAGTTACTCGCCGTGAAATCACACTTCCGGCGGCGCCTCCGAAATGCTTTCCAAATGCGGCCGCCACACTCCGACGCGGCCCCGCCGTCGATCCCTCTGACTCGAAACCCTCTCCGACAAAATCTCGCTCAAATAACGATCGGAAAATCGCAGATTCTCATCCGAATTACTATTATTATTATTATTTTTATCATTAGGCCTAGTGCCCTTCTTATCGCCGCCAGCAGTCTCCTTCTTCCTCCTCTTTGCGGGCAGCCTCGATCGAGTGTTTCCCGGCGGCGGTGCCGCCGGTGCCGGCATGAGGAAATAGATCTTCCCCCGCCGGAGCTCCGCGTCCGGCGGGACCACGACGATCCTTTGGCCGGAGGAGGGCGGCGGCGGCGGCGAGGAGGTGGGCTTCTTGAGGACGTGCTTAGGGTGGAGCTTCAGGACCTCCGCCGCCGTGACGGTGCCGCTGAATTCCTCGACGCGGCCGTTGGCGTGCACTATTCGGACAACGTCGAGGGCCCCACACGGCAGTATGCACGAAATGCAGCATCGGAGCGTGTTCATCACTGCCACGCGCCTTTTAATTATTCTAAAGATAGATAAAGACTAAAGTTAGATAAAAAGAATTTAATTTTCTTTAATTTTTTGTTTTAGATTAAAGAGAGAGAAAGTCACAATTCATGAGTTAATTTTTGGGCAAAAGTATGTCTTTATTATATGCTTTTAGGCCTTCCATTTATATGAAGATTTTCCTTCATTTTATTTTTTAATTTTGTTTTTTTGACCATTGGGCCTTTTCATTTTTTATTTTCCCTTTGTTTTTGGGTTGATAATTGGAGCTCATGTTTGTACATTGCTCTTTTTGGGATCCATAATTGGTACAACCCTCACTCTAAATGATCAATAATTTGGGGTTGGGTGTGGAAGGTTGGAGTCTAGTGCATATACTTGATGTACATCCCATTGGATTATAATGTGCCACTTGTCAAGCCATGGATGGTTCATGCTTGCCTATGTTGGTGAGTAGTAGTGGAGAGAGAGAGAGAGATAGAGGGGGAGAGAGAGATGACACTATCAAAATATACAATTGTGAGCTGCAATCGAGCTCCTGATGGACGAGCTTTTATTGATTAAGTCGAGATGAATTTGACTCGTTAACTAATCGAATCTATAAATGAGCTCGAGTTCTACTCGTTCATCAAAATCAACTAACTGAGTAACTTAACAGTGCAAAAAATTAAGTAATATTTTCTACTGTTTGAACTTTAACAAGTCGAATCGAACTATGCTACTTCATGTGAAGAATGGATAACAATTGGGTTACATCACATTATCCATTTATTTTGTGTTTCTTTTTCCCCCTTAATAAATAGTGCTTGGAAATTGGTATAATTGTGATCTTTCAATATCCTAAGCAAGAATTGATGGGCTTCTATTTCTTTAGTGGGTTTTAAATTTGCCGAGTGCTTACTTGACTTGTGTGAAGTTATTTGTCCTACTTACCTATTTTGGTGCAAAATGGCTATGCTTTGCAAATCCAACATACATTCCTAGCAAACGCTCTATGCATGAACCGAAACTTAACAAACTTTATAGGGAATTTTTGTTATTGTGAAATAATATCTTAAAGGTTAAAACATTTAAAAAGAATGACAATAATTGATGACTTTTCACTTTTAAAAAGTGAAATAAATCTTTGTCATAATAGTAACTTCACCCCAATTAAAGGAGTGCAATTATATTATATTGCAACCAAATAGTACATTATTCCCTAATGCGAGTGCGTAGTTCAGTTAGAACATATGGTATGTTCTGTTAAATCTAGATTATGACTTATGACTGAAGAAATAACTTATACGATAAAAGTATTTGGTAAAATTAGCTGATAAGCTAGTTGAAATAAAAATCTCAATAGACTTATTTGAAAAGCTGCCCGAGAAAGTTCATGAGATATGTTCGATCTTTTTCGAAAGGATCGTCGTATCAAATCAAACTTATTTGAATATATAAAACTTATAAACTAATTAAATAAATTATAAGTGAGCTTATATTGCTTACCAAATGCAATCATAATGTCCAAGTGCCACATATGTAATTGTTATCATTCATTCACCCTTAATTCATTTTAAAGACAAGTTGTTTTTCAAGGAAAAATTATGGTGCAGTCGTAGGATGGCGTGGTTGTGAGAGTACTATCCAATAAAAAAGAATAATAATTCTTTTCATTTGTTAAAAAATGAATTTTAATTTTGAATTGGGCTGAAAATATTAACTTTTAATTTAACCAGCAGAACTTGTTGGGGGTCACCATTGATATGGTCCGAGATAGGTGGTTCCGGTCTTCCGAAAGATCTTCTATCCAAAGTAAATCCTACTGTTTCGGCTTGGTCCAAGTCCGTAAGCTCGCCGGTACCTGAAAAAGCGCTAAAATTGCTCCGGTGCAAGACCCTTCGATGTCCAAGTCAATATCTCGGAATAGAGGAATGACTTACATTTAATGTAAAGTGATAACAAAAAAATGAATCTTACGTTCCTATCTCTTAATTCACCTTTTATATAGTACTTAATCGCACGGTCTTCCTTTCGAGATCAAACGCCCTCGAGCGTCTATCGATCGAGCCCAATTCAATTGATGCTCGGCCATGCATATCGACACTCGACCCGACCCGACCCTTAACGTTCCTTAATATCGACCAAGGGTAGATGTGTTCGACCCTCCGGGCCAAGAATCTATATATTCGACCTCCGAGCCAAGGGTTTATGTGTTCGACCCTCCGGGCCCGAAGTCTATGTGTTCGACCACCCGGTCCCGACGTCTATGTGTTCGACCATCCTGTCTCGAGGTCTATGTGTTCGACCATCCGGTCTCGGGGTCTATGCACGTTCGACCTTCCGAGCCGATCGGCCATGTTCGATCCTATGAGTCGGTCCATTCTTCGGCCCTCTTCGGCCCCGACTCAATCTCATTGTCCATTTGACCAATATTTTATGGGTTTTTATCCGGTTAAGTCGAGTAGGTACTAATATCCCAATCAACCATAATTATCTTTCCACTTGACCTCACATGGAAGGGGAATTCAAAAGCAAGATGATGACACATAGAAATATGGTTCTTTTCAACGTTTATACAATGGATCTTGTTTTTGGATTGACTTATCTGATGTCCAAACATCATATTCAAGTACAAGTAATTAATATAGCTGCTAGCAAGAAAGAAAAAGAAAAAACATAGGTTAAATTTTGGAACAAATATAATAATAATAAAAACAACTTTAAATTTATAATTATTTTTATTAGTATTCTAGATTATCCCCCTCCCCCTATATATTAATCCAGAACGCGCTGAGCCTACGTGGGTGCTTCTGGTGTTTCGGAATCCTATGTGGCAAAATTACATGTTTCTGCTATTAGGCTTTGGTAAATTTTAATTTAATTCTAAACAAAAAATAATTATGTTCGGATTACCATAAATATGTTGATTATTTATGGTCATATTACATATATTAATTGCATTTTAATATCATTCCTGATTATAATTATTGAATTGTATATATATTTTAAAGGTTAATAACTTTTGTATTTTTTATCAGTTTTACATATGTAATATATCAAATTAATCTTCTTTTGATGAGTTTCGATTTAACATCCATATTGTATGTATAAAAAAAATAATTTTTATTTATCATTATAACAATAATAAAATTATTTTTAATATTAATTAGAAAAATAAAATTATTTATCAATTAATATATTTATACTTCAAGTAATTATATGATATAAGTTATAAAAACTAATATAACATAATACATGTAAGTCATAAGTAACACATATTATTCTAAAATATATAGTAATATATTTTTATTGTAAAAAAGTAAATTAAATTTAATATAGTTTTCTCATTAATTTTAAAATTTAAGAATAATTTTTTAACAAATACATGTGTAATACACGAGTGTTGTACTAATATGTGGTTTATGTGTAATCAATTTTGTTGTGGGCTCACATCATTTAAATTTAATGGGTTTAGTGGGCGACATGTGAAGGAGAGATAGTAGAGGGGTCCGTCCGTGTGGAGGGGCTTATTTTTGTGCTGAATCCATTGTCCATAAATCATTAATTTTGGACTAACTATTTAGAAATTGCTAGTGTGAATTAAAGTTGGCGTAACTAACTAATTCGTACTAAAAATATAATAATTAAAACAAATAATAATTCAAACTAAGTATCAATTTTTGTAGCTATTTTATAACTACAATTATTGAGAGGGACATTTGATTTGTGCTCTATTTCATAACTAAATTATTATTATTATTATTATTATTATTATTATTATTATTATTATTATTAGTAAAAGATTAATGACTATGTATGTTGTATGACATAACAGTACCAAATCTGAAAAGATACCAAATTGCATAGTATTTTTTTTATTAATGTATATTGACATTTTTCATGTGATATATATTAATTAATCAATATTGCTATTAATACAAATGATAAAATCAATGGAGAAATTTAATATTGTTTTATGATAAATCATATATTATAAAGCAAACCATATATTTTATAAAATTTTGTTAATATTTTCAATTATTTATTTAATCTATATGATTTGAACATAATTGTTCTGATTATTCTTTGTATATTTTAAGTGTTTATGATATATAACCACAGTTACAGAAATTAATATTATTGGAATTAGACATCAACCACTAACCAAAATTTGTAAGAAAAAAATAGTTTTGCACTGATTTAATGGTTCATTTTTCGTAAGTGGAAGACTTCGTAAATTCTCAAAATCATTTTAAGGTGAATGAAATTCCAAGTATTATATGTTGAATAATTGAGTTTTAAGTAACTCAAAGGTTGTAGGGTTCACAAATATTATGTTTTGACAAATGTTTGGATAAATTAAACGAGTCGTAATCATGCATTATGTATGCTAGATTAATTGTAAGGCTCGTTGGGGACATGTAGGAAAAAACGAAAACTCGGTTCCGATGCACGAACGCGTACGAGCTCCCGACGCGTAGTTTAGCACAGGACCTATCGCGGGCGCGACGGCCTGTGATGCCTTGCGGAAGGATGCAACAGCTCGTCGCGGGCGCGACAAGCACGCGATGCTGATGCACTTGTTCAGTCCGAAGAGGTTTTTACTCAGTTTGGACGACCGGACATGTCCTAAAAGGTGTCTTTTGATGTCTTGAACCCCGTGAAGATGTGTTAGAACATCTATAAATTCTCATGAATTAAAATTGTTTCATATATCAAATTTTCAAGAGCTCTTGCATTTTATTTTCAAAGTTCATAAAGCATATTATGTTCTTTGATTTTTTCATTGAGTCTTGAGAGTTCCAAAACAATAGTATTGTTCGCCGAAGTCTTGTATATTTGAAGTACCGCTATATACAAGTCGAAAGTCGTTGTATATTGGAGGCGTTTGCCATTATCCTTGATTATTTTATGGGATAACTTTGCCTTAAGGAGAATGTAATTATTACGTATCACGACTCACGACTTTGATTATTGTTTCATTTTTTTTCATTCTCCTTAAACCGTCTTTT